ATAATCTACGAAATAAAAATGCTTAAAAATTTGTTTTAAATAATTCTATTATTTTTAAAATAAAATTTGAATTTATATATACTTTCATTAATTTCGACATTTTTCATCACCTTTGGCGTTTTCATCATTTTCGGCACTTTCGGCAAAAGTACTTATCATTTGCCGAAATACTTTCTACCCTCCAAAATACTTTCGGCACCCAACCTTGGTATGGTTACGCACGTTTTCCTGTCAACCGTTTCCCCGGCATGACGTTTCCTCGACGAGATGTTTTCTAAAGCGCAATCAATAAAATTAGTCTCAATTCAATTTGTATAATGTAGTTAATGAAATGAGTTGTCGGGGAATCGTGCCAGACCCTTTTAGCACATCAAATTCTGGAAATACTATAGTTGATAATTTTATTCAACAGTTCATCTCTTCTGGACCAAATTACAGGATGAATAGATGGATGGATGGATACCTCTTGTGATCAACTCCAAAGTATAAAAAAGTTAACAGAAAGCGGGTTTAGTTCAATTTTTACTGCCGTGTGGACGAGAGGCACCATTTACAATTAAATAAAAGAGAACTTGTTTATTATGGAGCGTAAAAAACAATATTGAAATTCAAATAATGAATTAATCAAAATAAATAAAATAAATATTTATTTATTTGTGTAATAAAAAACTTAATCCATCATGCAAGTAGAATATTAGCTAGTGAGAAACCTTTAAATGTTGATTAATCTATTATTAACGTTGTTTATTGTTTTATATAAATGAAAAGAATCAACAAAGTTGGTGCAATTAATCATTAATTTTATTTATTCATTTATTATTTTTTTTTTTTGCATTCATTAAAAATTAATTCATTACTTATTTTTTTGTCTTGAAAATAATAATTTCAAAAATTTTCATATTTTGATGAATTTTTAAAGTACACATTATCATCTTCACCTTCAACAGTTGGTACACGATACAATGATAGATTTTTGTATTTAAAATGGAAAGTTTTACATCAGATACATAGTGTTCGAGTACCAAATGCACTATGAATCTATTATCCAAAATCTAATTTTCAAAATAATAAAATTCAAACATTTTAATTAAAATTTTGTTAGTGATTATTACCAATGATGCTTTAATTCTATTTGCAATCCTTGCAAAGATAAAAAATAATGGTCCATGAATTACTTATCACCTAAATTTTCAAATATAACGTTAGTGAAATTCCGTAGTTTTAATGCGTTTCTATATTTTAAAATACCCGCAAAAATGTAACCTAAGGCAATCCCCAAATTGCAAATAATAATAATAATAATCAGTAGAAAAATGATCGAATATCTATCAATGCTGTAAGACAATGAATGATTATCTGTTCAATTGTATTTTTTTTAAAAAAATAGATCAGATGATTGATTAATGATGTAGATTTGATAGTGACATCATAAATAAACCATGCTCATAATAATAGAATTATCATCCTTTTAGATTGTAATAAAACGTTGTTTTCATTTCTTCCTTATTATAATACTTCAAATCCAAAATAATCATTATTATAATAATTTTTGTTATAATAATTGAATTTCTTTGGTTTCACAATTAATTCAGCCATTACAAATAATTAATTACTTTCCCCTTCTTTTGCTTTTAAATGATTGATAATAAATAATTAGTCGATTATTTATTTTATCTAAACTTTCAAAAGATTTTGATTTTATAAATAAATTATAACAATGTCTAGTCGTAAGAAAGTACTTTTAAAGGTAAATAAATAGATATTATCAATTAATTACGACCTCTATCAATTAAAATTCTCATTATTTTATTCCCTCATTCCCCTTTAAATGTTTTAAAGGTGATAATTTTGGGTGATAGTGGGTAAGTTATATACATGTATAAATTAAAATTAAATGTTGATATTAGAATTATATATAATATATACAAAATTATAAAGATCTATGCAAAGAATATGTAATAATCTATAATAATCTATATTTAATATTAGTGTTGGGAAAACGTCTTTAATGAATCAATATGTGAACAAAAAATTTACAAATCAATATAAAGCTACTATTGGTGCAGATTTTTTAACTAAGGAAGTGCTAGTTGACGACTGTCTTGTAACGATGCAGGTAAATAATAAACAATTCGTCCGTTAAAATTCATTCATTCATTTCATTCTATATTTAATTAAAATAATAATTATTATTATTAAATAAATGAACCAAAAAGATTTGGGATACTGCAGGACAAGAACGATTTCAATCATTGGGTGTAGCATTTTATAGAGGGGCCGATTGTTGTGTTCTTGTTTATGATGTTAATAATTCAAAAAGTTTCGAGACTTTGGACAGTTGGAGAGATGAATTTTTAATTCAGGCTTCGCCTCGTGACCCTGAAAATTTCCCTTTTGTTGTTTTGGGCAATAAAATTGACGTTGAAGAATCAAGAAGAATGGTAAATTGATATTGCTCTTAATGATGATTAATAATTATTATTTTTTGAAGAAAAATAATATTTATATAATATACGCGTACACATAATATTATTAGATATCGTCAAAGCGTGCCATGTCTTGGTGTCAGTCAAAAGGAAACATTCCCTATTTTGAGACGAGTGCCAAAGAATCAATTAACGTAGAGAATGCATTTATAACGATCGCCAAAAATGCTTTACAGCAAGAAAATGATTCAGAAATGTATGTCGTCGTGTTTATATAAAATATATATTATTAAAAAAAAAAAGTTTTGTAATAAGTTCACTAACAATAATATTTCAATCAATCTTAAATCTAAATAGATACAATGATTATACAGATGCAATCAAAATTGATAGTGAATCTACTAACGATGGATGTGGATGTTAATCATTGATTTGTTTTTTTTATAAAGAAATGAAAATTATTCAAGGACTTTGTCTCTATTCAGCAACTTTATTAATATTAATAATATTATTATTGTTATTTAAAAAAAAGAAAAGTTGATAGATTTTTTCTTTCAAATCTTTAGTTATATATTAGTTTTATATATATTTAACTATATAATTTTCACCTTAAAATTCATGTATCCATAATTCATATTTATACGCATATACATATATATTATTATGATTCTTTGCTATTTATTATTATATTTATTATGCATTATGTACTTTTCCATCATTAATTTTCTTTTTTTTTTGTTAATTTTATTTTTCTAAAAATCAAAACAAAAAAAAATCAGATCTTTTAAAAAAAAATCAACATGCCAATTCAACTTTTTTATGTGCAAAAAAAATTATAATTATCAAGATCTCCTTAACATATACATTGACCAGAAAATGAACAAACCAATTTCGGGGGCTCAAAGCGATGAAAATTGCTAAGCACCACAATTGTATATGCTATAATGCGTTGTGATTGTGATATCATTAGTTTTATAATCTCTTTACCTGTGTTTATATTCATCATTTGTTTTCTCATCTTTTTAATCGTTCAATGTCCTCCATATTAAGATAATTGGAATAATTGGTTAGCCCAAAGGTGATTACTAGGCTATTTTCAAACTTGTAAGCGCATATTTTATATGTAGCCTCTTAACCTACCCTGTAGATAAATTTTTCTTATCTAAACGGCACAAGATGCGTTCGCAATTCTGAGACATATCTTTTGCAGTGGACCACTAATGTTAAATTAAACTGCAAAATCCCATTATCCGGTATTTCCCTAACTTTCTTAATAAATTCTTGCAAAAGTTCTCACATTTCAGTTGAAGTTTTTTCATCGGAAATGGTTTTTTAGGCTTAATAATAATGTGCCCTTGGATCAAGGCATCTTTTGGACTGCTAATTGGACAACGACTTTATATGTTTCAGCTACCGGGCCATTTTGTGCTCGCAACTTTTCTACACTTTCCTGGTATTCTTTGGGATAGGCTTGAGTCATCTTATTGATCAGGATTTAGGTCTGTTCTTCTCAACGAGTAACTGACTATATTCCCTATATGTATATGAGATACAAATTGCACAGGTTGAAGTGTGTACATTTAAAATGTGAATATTGATACTCCCTTTATGTTGGTTGGTTTTCTATGTAGACAATTGATGTTGTAATTTGGTATATATATATATATATATTTATTTATTTATTTGCAATAAAGAATTAATTGCAATTTTGATTCTCCTTACCCGTGGAAGTTACATGCCGGAGGATTGTCCATAGATTTTATTTGATGCTTTGTCATCGACTGGTTCACATAATCTTAAGTCTGTAATAATAATATAACTAACTACCACCTCGTAAATCACAATATGCTAATGGATACGATTGCGTGATATACAGCTACTACTATTGCCACCATTCAATTGAGCTTTAAAAAGGGAGCCTATTTTTTAAATTTGAAAGTTATGCTCAGAAGTGCAACAATAATTTTCGTGTTATATACAATATTTCGAATCTCACGACCAAATTTGGTAATGATTTTCTTTTAATGTAATATTAATATGATCGTTAAACTTTTTTGTTGTAAAGAACTTTTATTTATTAATAAAAAAAAGGAAATAAATAAATCAAGTGTATGTCATAGAAAATATTCTATGAAAAAAAAAGTTGTTACACGAAATTTACTTAGTCTCAATTTCTTAAGTGTATAACAAAAATTCGGGAATTTTCAAATGCCAAGGCTCGGCCAATTTTCAGTTTAAGAAAAAACCAGTCGATAAGTTTTGAAGCTTGAGTCATGAACAATAAAACTTGTCGGTCAAATTTTTTAAAATGTTATAATTTTTTTTCGTTTTAGTATTTTGAAGTCGACCAATTGTTACTATAGCAATTAATGATTATAGATGATCTGCATCTGCTACGCGAGAACAAAAATTCATTTATTTTAAATTGGGTTTGAATTGCATCTTTTTTGAGCAAAAAAATGACATCATCCAGGCCAAGACAATAGTCTATTTTATTAAATTCAAAAATAGAACAGCCATTCGCTCATTTTTTTCGAAAAACTTGAATATTTTCATGAAACAAAATCTTTATTGTCATCCTCAAAAAATTATGAATCATTATCTCTTTTTTTTTCTTTATTTTTTAAATGTTTCCTTTTAAATAAAATAAACAATAAAAATTAACAAAAGAGAGAGGTCATGTCACGAAGGGTCAATACACCCAGCATGAGCCACCAGCAAGAGTTACATTCTAGACTTTAATAACACATTTAAGTGAGACACATGGGTTCGCCACTGCATGTCTTACCCTGAGATGAGTACCAGTAATGGAAAAATGAGTCATGTATGCCAACTTTTCAAGTTGTGCATGGGATATATACAGTTTACATTTCATTGTACAAATTCTATTCCATGATTTTATTGCGTGATCTAAAAAAAAAAATCCAAAATAATTCAATAAAAAAAGTAGAGTTGACGTTAGGCTGCGAGTTTGTGGAAGTAAGTGTTAAATACAATATGTATGTCAATGTACGGTGCTTTCAAAGGTGTTTGTAAAATATACTGATGAACGTTTGTCAATTATTTAATAGTTAGTATAGGCGTGATCAAGGTAAATGTTAAATACAAGATCTTTGTAAAATATATTTAATGAACGCTTTATCAATTATTAAATAATCATATAGGCGAGTTTGATCAAAGTAAGTGTTAGTCAAGATCTATGAAGCTTGCAAAGCGAATGTTTATCAATTATTCAATAATTATATAGGCGGGTTTGATCAAAGTAACAAAGTTTGCAATTCAGCTTTGCAAAATGAATCTATAGACGTGATCAAAGTATTTTTAGTAATAAACAAATAATCAATTCAATCTTCGATTTAATTAAACGCACAATGCTTTATTTTTAGTAATAATCAATTCAATTGTCAGTTAATTAAAAAAAGTAACCGAATAATGAATTCAATTGTAAACGCATAATGCTTTTCTTAAAAGTAAACAAATCAATGATCCAAAAAAAACCAGGACATATGATTATAATAGTAAAAAACGTTTTTTAGCATTTTTAGTAATAGACAATTAATTCAATTGTCAATTAACAAACTAAACGCATAATACTTTTCATAAAGTAAACAAATCAATGGTACAATCCAAAAACAACAGGACAAATGATAATAATATTAAAGATGTTTTAATAATAGAATGATGCCTTTTTCATAAGAATAAACAAATCAACGGTATGATCTTCATCACACTAAATAAATATTAAATGAAAAAGGAAAGATGCTTCACCACCACCAAAAAGTTATTATTAGTAGCATATATGATAAAATAAATAAATAACAAAAAACAATAATGAATTCAATTATTGAAATTAAATAGCTCTTCTTAAATGTAAAATAAACAAAATTTTTTATTCTAACCAAATATTTCTCTACAGTTGGAAAAAAATTATTATTGCACGATAAATGTTTATCACGTGGAAAAAAGATATTTACATTCATTGAACATCAAAGAAAAAGAGATTGATTTAAAATTTACCACTCAGCGAAAGCAAAAAATTCTTTCCCAAAAATTAGGTTTGAAAAACAAGATTTTTCCTGATCATTGGTTGCAATTGCAATTGTTCGCATCGCATTGCTTTCCATTTCCAATTCAATACAATGCAATTTGCCGTATGACAAAAATTTTTTTGCTAAATATGGGTAGACGTAAAAAGAGACAATCAAAAACCTGCACGAAAATCGCACGACTTATGGGTTTTGAAAGAAGATCGGAGTGACACGGAAAATGGTTTATTTTTTCTTTGCGTTAACCATATTATTATATAAAAATTCGTCATTAGTAATTTTTCTGCAGAAAGTTTCTAAATTTGCATTGGCTACACCGAAATTTCCTTTTCCATTAACATATTTGCTATATATAATTTTTCTAAATTTGGCTTTTACAATCATTTTTTTTTATTTAAAGCGTATCTACACTGTATTTAGCAGTAGATTGTGTAAACAGTAATAGTAACAATAAACATGAACACGAACAATCTTTTACATTTTTGTGTCGTAATATTGCATTATAAAAATAAAATTTTTCCATTAAAATATACCAAAAATTTTCTATCATTAAAATTCATCTTTATTAAAAACTATTATTTATAAATGATAGGAATGATTAGCTGTATCCCTGCTAAAAATGCAAATACTGCTGCAGCTATCCTGTCCTTAATTTCATTCTTGAGTCTCCTTTTATTGAACTTTGGGACACCAACTATCGAGTCAATTTATATTGCGAGCGTTGAAGTGAGTAGTGGTAATCTAAAGGGCCAAAAAATTATATTTGGATTATATGGCGCTTGCCTACAAGCTACCATGATGGACACTAAATCTAGATGCACGAATAGCAATGATGGTCTTGATAGTGACTATATCATTTCAAATACCCGTACAAAATTTTTGTTGTCTATGCATGCTGTTGGTAATGTACTTTTTTACTTATTAATTATGCCAATAAAATGTGAAAATATTATAAATTAATTATTGTTATTGTTTGAATATATTTTTAGGTGTAGTAACATCATTCATATTGTTTTGCATGGGCTTGTATACTCGCCATGGTCAAACTATATATAAAAGAGTGACATGGATATTCGCATTATTCAGTTCTTTTATCATTTTGTTAGCAATGGGAGGACAAATTGACCTTTATTTACAAGTCAAAAACGACATCCCAATTCATGGAATATCTGCAACACTTGGAGCTAGTGGATTTCTTCTTGTGGTTGTACCTCTCATATTGTCAATCTTGTCAATCTTTATATTTTACATCGGAGAACACGCTGTAACTAAAGAAGGCGGCATTCCAACTATAGGCACAGAAATGTCCATTCAGCGAAACGTTCCTTAATTTCCTCAACCTTATTCAAACGCCATCAACCAACAATTTATTATTTAATTTAATTTTTTAATTTTTTCAATCCAATTTTCTTGAAAATAATTCAGAGTTAATTAGAATTAGTTTAATAATTTTAATAACACTATACAAACTTATATATGGGTGCAGAACTCATTGGCTAATTTAAACTTCTCACAACTTAAAATTGATATATATATATATATATGTATATATTAATATTTGAATTTTGACACAGCCAAATTTTATTCAAAAAAAATTCTACCAGTAATCAACATCAGAGCTTTTGAAATTACTATTTTAAAGCAAGGTGTGACTTTTTATATTATTAAACTTACCCCGGGACAATCTGGTAGACAATCTATACAGAATATATTAATATATATATATATATATATATAACTTGGACTATGTTAAAATAAATGGATCAGCAGTAAAAGATTATAGAGCTCAAAGTTATAAACTTTACAATTTTCATCATTTATTTAATCACAAGTTTGGTACAACAGTTCCATTACTTCAATAAAAAGTTATTTCCTATATTTTTTTAATTTTAGTGATACCAATAGTTCTAAAAAATATATTTAATTTCACAAAAAAAAAAAAGGAAATGTATAGTTATTGAATAAATTGATTTAGACAATTGACTTTTGGGATAATGTATGATAGATCATTTGACATTCTTATTGATTTGTTTCCTTCGTGTACCATTGAATATAATAATACATTATCAGAGGGTGAATGTATGGCCCTTCTAACGTGTGTTCTATTATCTAATAAATTCAAAAGGTTGTGTGTGTGTGTGTGTAATAAAAATTTTCCTTCCTTCAGCTCTGGCCTAATAAGATAAATAAATATTTTTGGCTCTGATTTTAAAAAAGTAATTAGTTAAAGAAAACTCACGGATTGATTTTGATTATGAAAAGCTCCATGGTCAGCTAAACAAAAATTGCAATATATAAGAGCTTTAGTAATAAATAATTAGTTTTGATCCAACAAAAATCCTTTAAGATAAATTTTAGGAAAAAAGGTCAATTCACCATCGAATACTAACAACTAACAAGAATATCAGAAATAGAAAAAAGAGACAATTTCAAAAGAAATTATCAACTATATTTTGAAATATACAAACTTTCAAAGTGAAAGTACAAAAAATAAAAACAAAACAATAAAATCGATGGTATCAGCGACATAATAATATCTAATATTAACAATGAATGGGGAAAAGGACTTGATCAAAAAGGGAAATTTCATATGAAATGGGATCTATATATACAACTATTACCATATCCACCGATTTGTGCAACATTTTGGGCTACAAAATTTTGAATGACAAATTTAAGGGATCATCTTTTATAAAATTTAAAATTATCACCATTACTTATATATAGCAAAAGAAAATAAATATATATTAATTGATTTGGATTTATTTTTAGTTTTAACTAATTTCTTGCATGGGATTAGCTGTCTATTTACCCACTTATAAAATTCTATCAATATATAAATAGTTAGTATTGTTATCATGAAAAAATTTATTCAAAAAAAAGGAATAAATATGAATTCAAGTACTGGTGTAGCAGAATTTCTGCATTTAATAACACAATCAATAGTTATTTAATACGAATTGATAAATATTTATTAGGGCAGAAAAATTAATAATGAGACATTAGTTAACAATCATTTCTATACTTGATATTTTTTAGATTACTTACTTTGATACAGAGTAAAGAATTTGTTCAATTTTCACATTTAAACAAACTAGAATAAAATATTTAAAATTTTCTTTTTTCTTTTTAGCTTGATCAGACATTACTTTAGTAACTTGCGTAAATATTACAAATTTACTGGAAAAAACTTTTTCGAATAATAAAGGACAGACACCCTTGACCATGATACAAGAAAATTGATAAAGTCATTTACGCAGATTTACGCTTTTAATTCACCATGTCAGATTGTTTTCATGAAAAAGAAAGTTTTACATTTTGTTTATCCCGATTCTAATTCTAATTCTGACGATGATGGTGTTTTCTCTTCCCTTCCTCTTTTTTCTAATAAAGAATATACAAGTAATTCATGCAAACATATTGTAAATAAATTTAATAATCATTTTCATAACCAAAAAATATTCGATATATACATTCCCTAGACAAAAGTATCAGTTATAATTTTGAAACATGTACGTAATAAATATATATATATTAATATATAATTTGTAAAGCCTGGATTCTCAAAAATTAGCAATATTCCTATGTACTGTGATGTCTAGGAAGGCAGTGAACAAAAAAATAAAAAAATGCCTTTAATTGCTCATATATTAACCACATCTAAAATTTTTGAACCTGACAAAACGTGTCATATATTTTTTATATTTTTTGTTATTGTCTTTTTTTTTAATAAAGTCTAAAAGGAATCTGAACAGAACGTCCTAAGCTTTTCGCAAATAATGGGCAGCCAACAAAATATTATATTATAAATAGTAATTAGTTACTTTATTAATTCATCAAAAAGTTTTTGGTCAAATTTTTTATAGACACATACCACAAGATATATTCTCTTGGTAAGCTGGACTACAGAAAATGTTAAGAGACACAAGTGCCTTGATTTATTGAATAACATTAAGTGTCTAATAATTTATTACATGCTTAATTAAAATTGTTATTAAATAGTGCTTTAGTATAATATTGAGTTAATAAAGAATCTGAACTCAATCAAGATTTAAAGAAAAATGTGCTTAATGGCCTTCGAGAGGAAAAACTACTACCAAAAAATTTAAACGCTATTGTTGTGAAAAATATACTGTCAACCATAATTTCATTTGCTCAATTTGTAATAAGTCAGAATGTCATCAGAGTTAAATACCGAGGAAGAAAAGAGCGTCAAGCTTGGTTTAAGAAACAAGTATAGAGGTCGAGAACAAGCTGATGTTCTGTATTTGTATTAGCCTTGGTGATTAGAGAAGCATTGTTTATAACAAATAAGATTGCAATTAAGTATATTTTTTTACATACTTCATTCCTTCCCATTGTCGCATTAACTTCTTGTTAATATGGATTATTTCTTCGCGTTGAAAATGAAACTAGTGACTATGTTATACCGCAGCTGTTGGTTATCTGTAATTTCTGTAACAAAGATTTGAAATAGTTTCTGTTGATTCGTTTAATACAGTGAGATTAATTAATGGTGGTGGTAATCACAGGTTTCATATTCATACAGATCAATAATTGGATGATACTCAAAGGTAGTAAATGTGCGGAGCTTTCAACACAGATTAGTTTAAACAATGGTTTCTTTAAAAGAAAGATCAATGATTTTAATTGTTGCATAAAAAAATTATTGTTGTTATTGTTATAGATAAAAGAAAATTCATAAAGAAAATAAAAAATAAATACAAAGTTGTGTATGTATGCCTTCTCGACTCAAAAATCACGTGGCTGTGAAAATTTTATTGCATTGCGGCGCAGAATGTTCAGCGACAAAGTGACGTTGCTTGCGCTACAGAAACAGAACTAATTTGTTGCCAAAGATAAATTTTTTACAAAAAAGAAATACCTTAAATCAAATTTGAAAAAAGAATTTGGTAGGTTTTAATTTATATAAATAGTAATAACAACTTTTTTTTAGTAACAACATATGCAAATACTAACAAATTATTGTTGTGTTGACTTTTTATTTAATTCCAATAGAGATCGATACTAAAGATGAAGACTTCAATTAGTTGCAACTAGTCGCAATTAATTAGAAGCCCATCTTTAAGAGAATAGTTAGACGTTAAAATTGATCAACTTATAAAATTGGTAGTAATAATGATTTATCAATACTTCAATCATAATAAACAGTAAATTATCACATAATTAAACTTGGGTCAGCAATTTGAGGATCGTTTTCGTTGGCATCATGGTTTGGAAACAAGCTTTCATGATTATATAAATGATATTTGATGGAAGAAATTGTTACAGTGCGGATCATCTATACTCAAAAGTTAAAATTTTTTATGTGATCCACACATTGGATTTTTAAAAACTCGCCACCATTCAATTCGGCTTTAAAAAGGGAGTCTATTAATCTA